AAGGAAATTCGACGGGAAAGTTGAACTGAGTTTGAGATTTCCTTGTTTTATGCGTTGCTTGAAAGGAAGTAAAATTGTTATTGCTTTGAGGATGTAATTTTAAAAGATCCCATCAACTGACAGCCTCATCAAACAGAAACTTGGTACATCCGAGCAATTCATAAACGATTTCGGAAAAAAACCAAAATTTCGGAGGTACTAAACTGAGGGATTCGCGCAAATTAAAAATCTCAAAGAGAGGGGTGAGAGAGAGGAAATTTGAAGAGAGGATATAGAACTGAAATGGAGTATTTTTCGGGGTTATAAGACAGATGCCTTTTTCCTCTGTTTTTTTTCGTGGTTCCATTTCAAATGAAATTGATTCACTTTTGAATTCGTTTGCATCGTTCATTCATTTGTGATTGCTTCTATCGTTTTTGAATGAATGTTCCATTAAAGCAAAACGCACTTTCACGCTCACGATCAGAAGCTGCATGAAATGTTAATGTTTTTACGTTGAATTTTAAAGCTTCGATGCTTCTAGTCACGCATTAATACATCCATTTACTCACTATTACTATTTGTGTTCGCTTTCTGTTTTCAAATAAATTTTGATTTGACACTAAAAACATTTGAAATGTCACGCTCAGATTTCCATCGACGACACTGATATCATCTGCTACACATAGTGTAACCAATAGCTGAAGAAATATGACGTCGTATTGGTGTAAGAAAACGCAATAAGGAGACTGAAACGACATAGACAGGTCATTCGTTTTGCATATTGGATAACAAATTCTGTACTGGTACTCCAGAGAATAGAACAGGCTATTGAGAAGATGGCAAGGTAAGATAGTCAAGTAAATAGAGGAAATTATGGTATATGAGTGAAGCATTAATGAATGAACGAAGATCGTGCGAGATGTCGTCACGTCAGAATGTGATCGATGTAAACGATCGAGGAACCAATTAAAGGTATTCAGGGTGAACATATCGCTCTAATTATTCGAAATGCGATTCTAAATAACTAAATTCTGTTCTAATGAAATGGAACGCTTCGAACGTTGCTGATTATAAAAATTATAATAACGAAGATAAATAAAATAACAACAATTTTCAAAATATGGAACCGAAGATAAATAACGAACGTTATTTATTTTGTTTTCAACACAAAATTTTGCCGTAAATGGTACAACTCTGTATTACCTTATGACACACTATACATTGTGTTTTTTCCTCCGTCTGCCTTCTCCTTCCCAACTATCGTTAGCGTAATGTTTTAGTTACCACGGATGATTCTGTCCCTCATATGTTTTCAATGCTTATCATGCGAATGAATAAATAAATAAAACATTGATTATCATCAATCTTATTATAATCATTTTTGCAGCAACACAGCATGCACGAAATCTTAGCAAATACCACCAAGTATGCAATAAGGATCATAAAGAAAATGTGAAAGAAAAACAATGAGAAATGAGCAAAATATGATCCTTTCCCTAACCCCGACCGCGCTCGAGCTTGATTACATCCTCGACCCATCATTAACAAAATCTGTGTGATCGCTTACAAACTGTTCTCGATTCCATCACATTCGAAAGATGCTCTTTCAAAATCGATTTCAAGATCTATCATTAAATGCTTTCTTTCCCCGAAATATACTGGCACAATTAGCAAATGTTATAATAAAAACTAATAAAAAGCAAAGCAACATCGAATCAAATGCGCAATGATCATTCGCTCTGAATGATAGTGCACTGACCACAGCTAATGACTAAATAAGAGCTTAACTAACCCTGTTCTCGCACTTCGCAAGTAGTTTCTTCTTTCCCAGATCATACAAACGTACTTTCCGTCCCACACCAACCAGCGCCATACCACGGAAATCGTGAATTGCGTTCACTACCTCCAATGAATTTTACGTTTCAGAGAATATCTACTAATTCTATACAACCAACGAAACATCAATAACAACAACGTACCTCATCAGTTTGTGTACGATGTACGAACTCAAGTTTCGAACCGTTTTCGGTCAACAGGAACGTGTAGATACAACCGCCTTTCGATTTACGTGGCTTCAATTGCAATCCAATCGCACACCCCACCAATATGAACTGTGCATCCGACTGGTTTTGGAATTGCACACTCGCAAGTCTGAATTATTTATTTATTCATTCGTTTTGTTCATTCGCATTCCAAACAAAACAAAACACAAAACTCACGAAAACGCCGCCTCATCCTCATTTAACGGCAACAATGATAACGTTTCTCCATCAGAACTGCGCATTATACGAATCGTTGACGCCCATTTGGCTGAATTCAACGCAATTATACTAATCAACACTGACAAATGAATAAATACACATATCAAATAAACATCAAATACATAAATAAATAAATAAATCTCAAATAGATAAGTGAACAACAAACACAACCTTTCTGGTTTTTGGGTGCACCCATTTGTCTCTCGTCAACGCTTTCGTTCAGAATCGAGTCGGCCATCTCCTTCACTGCCTCTTCATCCCCCTCGTCGGCTTCTTTCGCCAACTCCATCAACTCCTTCAAATCAATCCCGTAGGATAGTTTCAATCAAGACACAAAAATGTTAAACTCACATTCGCCAGCTGTTTGCGTCGTTGTTGTTTTCCATTCTCAGTGAACGCTGCATGATCCGTTTCAATAACGATCAAATTTCCTGACGCTTTATGAATCAACATTCGACGCGGTGTATATTTCAACGGATGCACTGTCTCGTTGAAAACTGCACCCAACTTCTCCAGTGACAAGATTCTGAATTCATTTTTATCATCAATTTTTATTATTTTACAACGGACAAGATTTGTTGTGTTATTATTAATGATGATACGACGAGAAATAGAGAAGAATGCAACGGGTAAATTAGTGAATGCCAAACGAAACATCAGTCAAACAACTAATCAATGAATCAACCTCAACGTGTTATCGGCAATCGCCACAATTCCCTCAGGACACTGCTCTGAGGAAAAGCCAGCAGCGTACTCCAAAGCGATATACGAGAGTGGTGTCAAGTGGAATCTACTCTGATAATTGTACAGCAACCAGGCTCGTGATGACGCACCCATTATCTGTTTTTTGTTAAATTCATTGCAAACTGTCAATACAACTTTAACAAATAATCATTATTTTAACTACCAACCGCATCTTTATCCTGTATTCTCACTCGGAACAAGTTCACTGATCTCGTACCCAAATACCGACTTCGATTATCCGTCAATTCACCAGTCACTTGATCGACAGTTGTTCGCAATAAGCAACCATTCTAGAGATACAATAAGCATTCACTATCAATTTCAAATCACACACTAATAATGACACATTAAAAAGTCAAATAAAAATACCTGTAATCCAATATTAAGATGAACAGTTGATGCATTCGAACCTTCACCACCGAACATTTCCAACACGATTATTGATTCTGGTTCGGAGGGAAGTGCTTGCATACTAAAATATTTATTTATTTATTNTCATTCAATTGACCAGTCTGAACAATCACTACTATTATTATTATCAGAGTACAGCTCATCATCAACTATACTCCCTTCAGCTAACCACTCACCACATCCAATTCGAAATAAACGATTTCTCCACCAGCCAGAGCAATCGCCACCTGTCTCCTATTCAACGCACATTTCATGATGGTTCTCTTTCCGGGTGCTTTCCACTCATTTACACGTCGATCGGCACGAATGTGACGTATCCCATCTGGATATACCTGCAAAATCACACCACAAATTCAAATGCTCATCTAGATTTTGAACATTTTCATCCAAAACATCAACTTCACTCTGTACACAACAAAAATCCCTTTCAAATCTACACAAAGCGATGTCAACACACCACCATCAACTTATATACAACAATAACCTGAAGCAAAGCGTCATCTCCAATCAGCCCACAGCCCAGAGTCGGAGTTGTACCCAAAAATCCGGAATCGGTGACCTCTTCAACTGTTTCCCCAATCGACAACACCAGAGTGGCGTTCACGAACGACACCACGATATGCGAGTCATATTTATCTGAAAAATAAGATTCCATTCAATAAATTAATGCCTAACACATTAACATCTCATCGTGCACTTTTAATCTCTACTATCACTCATCGTTGCACGCCAACTGCTTTTGC